GCGGCCACGCCCGCCCCACCGCCCTACCATGCCGCCCGGCATGCCAACAGCAACGGCGCCCTGAAGCACTTTGGCAGCGGCATCGGCTACGGCACAGCCGGCGGCATCGGCGGCACCGTCGGCACGGCTGGCGGCGGACCGGGCAGCGTGAGCGGCAGCAGCTCCAACTTGACGGCCAGCAGCAATACGCTGGCGGCCACGCCTCTCACACAGCCCTCGCTATGCGGGACGCTGGGCGTGGGCGTGGGTGTGGCCGCCGGCGTAATGCAGAGCGCACAAAGTCCCTCCGGGCAGTTCATACTGCCCACCAATGGCAAGGGCGTCACACAGAAGGGGCCGCTGGCCACGCATGTCTAAGCGGCTGATGGCGGGACGGAATCGGAGGTGGAACCGGGACTGAAATCGGAGCTGTAGACGAAGCTAGAGCCGGATCGGTAATTGGTGTCGCAACTCAAACTGGCATCGGAACTAAAACTGAAAACTGAAAACGGAACTGGTACTGGAACTGGAACAGCAAAAAAATAAAATAGATAAAGAGCCGAAACTTCAAATGATATCGTAATCTATGCGAGAACCGGAACCTGATCGAAATCCGCAAACCACAAGCCGGCATTGAATTCGGAGCTGGAACTGACACCGGAACTAAAATTTGAATGGAACAAAGAAGCGCAACCTAAATTGATGTCGTAACCTAAAGTGGAACCAGAACTGCAATCAGAACTGGAACTGGAACCGAAGTCAAATACCGCAGCCGAAGCTTACAAATAGAATGTCACGCATATTTATTCAATTCGTATTCGTACTCGTATTGTCTAGACTGTAGAACCTAGCAACCTAAGATATTTTTTTTTTTTTTCGAAAAGATTTCGATTATACATATACATACATGCATATATATATATATATATATATATATATATATATATATATTATATATACATATATAAAAAACCGTATTGTGATTTATAGCGTTAATTATTTTATGAGAACTCGACGAAACGAAAAAAACAAAAACAAAAGTCAATGCGTCAAGGAAAAAAAGAAAAAACAAAAACATTATATATATATATATATATATACAGTATATATGTGTATATATGTCTTTATATATATATATATTTATCTAGTGCAAATTTTAAGCTAAGTTTGTTATTGTATTTGAGCGCTGAAACTGATAAATCAGATGGATAAGTATATATACATATATATCAATTAACGAAACGTATCGAAAAAAAAAGAAATAAATAAAATTCACACACAACTTTCAAAGTTCATTTTAAAAATAAACCAGAGAAAAACTTTTCAAAAAAAAAAAAAAAAAAAATTATTAATGAATAAATATTAAAGAAAAGAGTATATAAAGCCTGTAGTTAGTTCCAAGTTAAACGCAGCAAAAAACCTTTCTAAGCCAAAATCTATTAAATTTTAGACTTAAAAAAGTAACACAAAAAAAAAAAAAAAAAATACAACTGCAAAAGAACTAAATGCTAGTATAGCTTTATAGGAAAAAGAATAGAAAATCCGATCAAGTGGCCAATAAACATTTTAAAGAACTAGTTCAAAACGAGAGAGACAGCAGCAAAAAAAAATATTATTAAAAAAAAAAAAAAAAAAAAAAAACATTTTTCATTGACTCAATTTAGTTTTTTTGATTATTTTTTTTTTCTATTGACTCAACTTTTTATTGAATTTTTTTTTTTGTATTAATATTTATTTATTTATTTATTGTTTTTACACATATTTTTAATCAATTTTAGAGCCACCCTTGGTGTTCAAAGCTCACAATAATGGCATCGTAATTATTTTTAAATAAAGTTTTTAATAAATATATTTTTTTTAAAGCAAATTTTTAAAAAAAATTTTAATATTTATGTAACAAAATCAATTTTTGCAACATAAAAAAATACCTATATTTCCCTAAACTGAACCCTAAACTGAACATATTAATGAAAAATGTAACTTAAAAACATTCCTTTTGATCTAAAATTGTTTTTCAACTTTCTATAGAATTTTTTTTATATATAATATTTTTGGCATATTCGCATATGAATATCGGGTGATACCGACTGCAGCATACTCATTGACAATCCAAATGTAGCTCCAACTTATTTCCGACTTACCACGCCTTCAATCAGTATATAATATTTAAAAATCAATATGAATAAAGGGTATATCTATAACACATATTTTTTAACTTATGTTTTCAACCCGGGTATACATTCCAAATTTCAACTCTGTCTCTCTCTCTCTCTCTCTCTCTCTCTCTCTCTCTCTCTCTCTCTCTCTCTCTCTCTCTCTCTCTCTCTCTCTCTCTCTCTCTCTCTCTCTCTCTCTCTCTCTCTCTCTCTCTCTCTCTCTCTAGTACATCAACTTCCATGATCTCTGAGTTACCAAAAATTGTATTTTCTGATTTGCCACGCCCCTAGTGAGCATTGACACTTTACAGTTCGATGATATACATTTTTAAAATAACTCTAGCTTCAATAGTAAAGAAATGGCTGGCAGCTATACGGACAACCCGACGGACAGTTATACGAGCATTGCGCAAGTGCATCGTGAATGAGTATAAAAATCATATTTGAATATGCCCAAAATATATCATATATAATCTATCTGTATATATTTATAATCATGGTGTTACGAATATACAAATTGTTGTTGTTTTCTTTTTTTTTTTTATAATATTTATTTCTTATTTTTTGTCAATTGTAATACATGGAATTTGCTGTGCGAGCTCTGATATGAGTCACTGTATTATATACAATTTGACTATGGGCCAACTTGATCGGATTGCTAGAGAGCACAGCATCAATGTGAAACCAACTTAAATAGGAATACATTTTAACTTAATCATGTATATGCATATATATGTATATATATGCATATATCGATATCTGTGTATATATATATATATATATTATGTGTATATTGCTCGTATATATAGCGCATATGTGTGTATGGAAGCCAGCTGGTTGAACGCTTAAACTTAAATTAACTAACTAGGATTACAATATTAACGAATATCTTAAAAAAAAAAAAAAAATATATCGATATACATATATATCGAAACGAAAGTGTAGTACACTGCAAACTTTTTTTTTTTTTTTTTCTGCATAGTAAATAAATAAATAATTTTAAGTGGAAAAAACGAAAACAATTTTAAACAAAAGCTTAGCAAAATTTGTAAAACACATTTGAGAGATCTACCAAAAACAAATATAAGATAAATATTAAAATATATAAAATAAAAAACTAATAAAAAACCATAAAACAAAATACAAAAAAAAAAAAAAGAGAGAAACATTTTTTTTACGAAGAGCTGCCTTATGATTCCTTGTGAAATTTGTTGGAGTTGTTGAACGGCCAACGCTATATGATTAAATATATAAATATCTTTTTTTTTTTTAAATATATATTTATATATATAATATCCATATATACAAAAATCGCTTTAAACGTATTTCAATTTTCTTCTTTTTCTTTTTTAATTTTCAAAATAATTTCATTCTCTTTAATATATTTTTTAATGCTATTTGCAGGGCTTTTATGTGAGTTCATAAGAAAGTCATAAAAAATACAAATAAAATAAAAACAGAATAGAAATAGTAAATCAAGCGAATTCAAATGAACCGAAACTTTTTGGGTAAATTGTCAAAGCGATTCAATTAAATGTTCAATTAAATGCAAATGCAAATGCAAAAAAAAAAAAAAAAAAAAAAAAAAAAAAAAAAAGAAAGAAAATACAAAGTAACTTACATAAAAACAAAATAATTAAATGAAATGAAAAGAAACGAAAAATCCTATTAAGCCAAGTAAATATGATAATTATTCATTATATGTGAAATGCATGTGCAAGAAGAAGATGAAGATAAGAGAGAATGAGCTGCAAAAGGTAGACGCCGAAGAAGAACTAAGCAAAGTGTGAAATTTCGTGTAATATGGAAATTAATTCAATTAAAACTAAGTCAAAAAACTCAAATTAGTTGAAATAAAAATCTAAATGAAAAAAAAAATTGTTTTTTTTTTTTTTTTTAAATGTAATGTCGAACTTTATTGAATTTACTAAATGAAGCTGATTCTGTCAGCCATAAATTCTCTTTACAGGGTATGCTGGAGTCGTTATTGTAAAGTGTGACATTTCATCATCTCATTTGATTCTTATTGTGATTTGATTATTCAAAGGGAATTTCAGCTGACCCTAACGCTGCTTCGTGTAAACATTGAACGGTTTCACTTTTGCCGCAGAAGGACACAGCTTGTTATCGACTTTTATCGATTACAGCGGGCAACCTGACTATGCGCAACGGTTGGCAGAGCGCCGCGTCGCGGCAATAAAGAAAAAACAAGTATTTAATTTTGTTTGCAGCCATTTTGAAAATGGAAAGAAATAACGACACAGCCAACAACAAGAATGCAAGCCAGCCCAGCAACGCAGGCGCAGTTGCGCTGCGGAGAGCGCAAGCACAGTTAAATGAGCGCAAACATAGTTACGCTCTCTTTCATGCTCACGCTCGCGCTCTCTCTCCCACTCAAGGAGCAGAAACGAGATCTTGGTTCGCACGTTAACTTCAATTATGTTTAGGGTTAAGTCTGTCGTTACAGTATGATATGACTCCATGATACTTGGTGGAAATATAAAAGATAATAACATATTATAAATATGTACACACATATGTATTTAAAACAATGTAAACAATTTATCAAATATAAATGTTTGTGCCACATGTTGCAGATTATGCACAAGAATTGCTTCTGCTCAAGGCAGCAGCAACTTATGATAACTGTCATGGGCGAGCGTGCAAGCCACTCTCAATTGCACGCTCTCTATCTGGCGGCTGTTCGCATTGCCATTGATCTCGGCTCACTGTGGCCCGTTTTAAAGTGAGAGTGTGAGCGTGAGCGTAAGTGAGCGCTTGAGTGTGAGAGCGCGCACGAGAGAGAGAACCGGCTGTCGTTGCCGTTGTCTTTTTTGGGGGTTCAGACAAGCGACGCTCGTGAGCGCGGCTCAAAGTGTTGCGAGTCGTGAAACGAAACGGATATCGAGGCGGACAGTCTGTAGCAGTTGAAAATTGCAATTGCATGGGATTTCAATTCAATGCTATTTTATTTTTTTTTTGAGTGCCTCCTCTCAATTGTGTATTTGTGTGAGTGTCCCTGTGTATGTGTGACTGTCTGTGGGAAGTGTAAAGGCGACGTAAATTAAACTCACAGCGCAGGCAAAAGAAACGAAACAACAACAACAACAACAGCAACATCGGCAGCAACACCAACAACAACAACGGAGAGGCAACAACAATATGGCGTTTAATGCCGCCGCATGCAAAAATTGCAGCATGCGATTGCGGCGCATAAGATAAATATCGCTATCGGGATCGGTATCGGTGTCGGTTATCGTTATCGCTATCGCTGTCAAAATATATATTATTCTTCGTTTTTTTTTTTTGTTGTTTTTGCCCCAGTGTTCGTGTGAGTGCAAACAAATAAATCAAGCAAAAGGAAAATAAGCACAAAAAAGCACAGAAACCACAACGCGACTCCCTACGTCTCTTTGTGTGTGTGTGTGTGTTCGTGTCTGTATGTGAGTGTGTGCGAGAAAGGAAGCAAAGCGTTTTGCCTTCTCCGTCTCCGAATTCTTCTTCTTTGTCTTCGTCTACGTCTGTTTGAATATATCGCCGTCGCTTCCAGTTGAATTCAAAGTTTGTTGCGGTTGCGCGTGGAAATGTCGCCGCTGCAAGCGTCGACGTCGGCGTCGCTACATACAATAAACGGCAACGCGCGGCACTCAATTGTTCTACTGCAAAATACATAACATAAAAGAGTAAAACAAGAATCAGCACAGAAAAACAACAAGCAGCAGAAACAACAACAAATTGAGCAAAAAATAAAAAGCAAAAGAAAACCAAAAGTCAAAGTGAGACAAGAAACTGCACACTAAATAAAATACAACAAGCAAGCAAACATAAAAAGAAAAAGGAACAACAACAACAACTAAAAACTGAAAAGCATAAAACGCAAATCTTAAACTGGATTACAATGCAGTTGCAGCGCAGCAGACGTCGCTGTCGCGCACACAGAATTTGGATTAACGAAATGCTAGCGGGCGTCGCGCTGCTGCTGCCGCTGCTGGCGCTAGCTAATTTCAGCAGTGCCCAAGCGACGGGTAAGTGTGAAAAAAAAAATAAAAAACAGAAAACAAAAGAAAAAACGGGGAATAATACACAACAAGAAAACACATTATTTTTGCATGCATTTTGATTAAGTCTGCATTTTCGTATTCTGTTTCGTTTCCCTTTCTATTTGTCTCTCTTTGCGTTCCTTTTTGGCCTCGCTGTACGCTGCTGCCTCCTGTGTCTGCCTGCCAGTTCGGACAGGTGGTCGTGCTCTCTGACACTGCGCTCTCCCGCTCTCTCACTCACTCATTCAGTCACACTCTCTCCCTCTCTTTTGTCAGCGCGCTCTCTCGTTCAGATTTTTTTTGTGCCTGCTGCGCACCTTTAACTTCTTATATGCTACGGCACAGCCGCGCAGCCTTTCGATCCGTTTTGTTTCGTTTCGTTTGAATTCCATTTCGTTCCATATGCATGCTTTATGTATGTACATGTACTAAGCGTGTGTATGCTGTTATACTAAGTGTATACTGTTATACAAGCGCTCACACTTCGCATACTTCAACTTTTGTCAACTTCCTGTGGCTCCCTCGTCTTGGGCCTCCCTCCTGTTCCCCATCATAATTAGGCTCACTTGTCAAACTTTTGTCTTCCACTATCTAAACACAGACAGGCCGACAGACGTAGGCAAAAACAAGATGGAAGAGGAAGACTCGACTTGACTCTTGTGTGTGGCGCATTGCAGACATCATGCAAGCCAAAAAGAAAATATAATATTTGCATAAAAGCCGCTGGGGCTCGGCTCTTGTCTAATCATTGTGTCAACACTCGTCTCCATTTTGGTCCCTCTCTACATATGTACATGTGTGTGTTTGTACTTAGGTGTAGGTGTTGTAGTTGTACCTTTCGGTACTCGCATTGCCTTTACGCATTTCAACTTTCCGGGAATTATAAAAAAGGTGAAATAAACGTATTTTTTTTATTTTATTTTTTAGCTGGAACCCCATTGGAATACATGGGAAATGAATTGCTATCGTTTATAATTAGCTTTTTTCCACATTATTTACCCTAGGCCATGTCTCTTATGAATGCCGATTAATGTGCCCAGCTGATCTGTTCAAATTATCTTAAATAAATAGCTGAAATACCTTAAGTAAATAGTTACAAAATATGTATATATTAGAGTTTAGAAGAAACAGAACATAGACAACATAAAATAATATTCTAAGGCAATGTTTTGAAGACTCAAGATCATTGACACTCTTATAAGAGCTTCATATAAGTTTTTATTATAGGAACAAAATCCAGAAATGTTCTGAATTCACAGTTCATAGAATTTGCTGAGCTCAGGACCTTTTTGGTTTCAATTATTATAATTCGAACTCCCTTGTTTTAAGTAAATCAAGAAGATTTATCAAGATTCTAGCTTGATAAATCTTAAAATGATAAAAAAAAAAAATTAAAGGAAATAATGTATGGGACTGACAAGTAAATATTATTGGACCAAAGTTTAATAGTTTCATTTTTTTCCCCTGTTTTAGTTATCACTTCTATTTATTTTGGTTGTTGTTTATTTCCTTTTTAGTATCCGCTACTATTTTTAGGATCGCATAAATTTCATGAATTTTTTGTTCCCAAGTCCTGAATTCAATATCTCCCAAGTTTGGAATCCAAATTATAGAATGATCAATTTTATGAAACTTAATTTGAATTCTATTTAAAAAGAATTTCTATCTGTATATGTATTTACATATGTTGCTATCTACATATCCCTTAATACAACAATCCAGATATATATATATATAGGTATTTGTATGTATATAAATACCAGTATATTTATACATATATATATTCTATATTGCCTGCCTGTGGATAATTAAGGACTCGATCTAACGGCCTCTGCGTGTGCGTGACTTGCAATAATTTCGAGCAAGAGCAAAGTCAAGAAATTGTATTTTAGGGTGCGCACAGGATAAGCACAGAGCGAGAGAGAGAAAGAGAGAGAGAGAGAGAGAGATAGCAGAGGATGGCTGACAGGAAATACTCATGCAGCATGGGGCATAGAGACACACTCAGCACACACAGCAAGAGCTGAGCTAAACGAACGAACGAACGCGACATTGAAACGAAATACAACGAAAAGAAGAACTAAAAGCAGCCGAAGCAAAGGCACAAGCAGAAGCAGAAGCAGAAGAAGCAGCGCAGAGAATATATTTCGAGAACTTGTTTGCAGCCTAGGTAGACTGAGCCGCGTACAATATATAACTCTCCCTCTCCCTCTCTCACTCTATCTCTCTCGCTCTCACTCTCTCTCTCTCTCCCTCTCTCTCTCGCTCTGTCTGTCTGCCTTAGCCGTAATTTGATCTGTGCGCAAACAGCAAAAAGGACGCGCCTGCGTGCAATATGCTTAGGGGTTGCAGCGCTCCCGTCGAGTCCCTGCTTTTTGCCTGGCTGACAGCAGCTGTCGATTCAATTTTTTCTTCTTCTTCTGTATTTTCCTCTTCATCTGCTGCTTCTTTCTCCTGTTTTTTTTTTTTTTTTTTTTTTTTGGTGGTAGCTGCTGCATGACAAAAACCGTTACAGCAGCAGCCGCAGCAGCAGGAGCAGTAAGCTCCCCACTTGAGCGGGGGGATGCTCAGCGTCTGTCAGCTGCAAATGTGGCGCCCACACCTAGCTAAGCGTGGGGGCGTGGCGTCAATTATGAATCTCTTGCAGCGCTTAAATGTCAATAGATTTTTAAATATAAATTGCTATAATTGTGTATATATATCTCTATATATATATATATATGTATCTATATCTATGTATGTTCGCATGGGAAAGTTGAGCAGTAACTTTTTTTCTTGTTCGATGGCAACCACGTTTCATTTTTTTGCGCTAATTTGTCGCTGGCATTTAATGGACCCTAATGGAGCGCGCCAGTCAATATGCAAAATGTAAAAGTATTTGTCTATCAACAACATCAGAGGGGTGGGGAGAGGGCGAGGGGGCGCGCAGCTGTGCAGGAAACGAGTCTAGGAAGCAAGCATGAAACTGAAACCCAAATGAGCTGGGCATACATGCAATGCATATCTCTTACTCTTACCAGAGTCAAGTCAAGTTTGACATTTAGGCAAAGTATCAAGAAATCATTGTGAATCATTTATCAAAAGAAATCACATGATATATGGATGAGAATTGCTAGATTTATGGTTGAAAATGGTTTGCTTTTGTTTTGCCAAGCGAATTACGTAAATTTTTGAATAATTTAATGTAGTGTAAGTAATTTAATGTTGTACGGCGTGGAAGGTCTCCGGCGTTGGCCTAATTGTTTTAGGCCACACATATGTCTGTCAAAGAGCTTGACAGCCAGGTAATTTTGATAGTTGAGTCTTGTAGTCGGCTTCGACTATACGTCTATTGGTATGTTTTTGTATAAGACTTGATCCATATGTTGACATCAGTCAGTCTAGAAGCTTCGAATGAAGTCAGGTATATTAAAAAGATGTGCATATGTTTTATATAATATGATTTTCTTTTTAAAGTCTACATTACATGAAGTAAACAAATATGGAAATGTTTAGAAAGAGGCGTGGCAGAGAGCATAGTACATGTTTTCTTCATCAGGATGAATCGTTGTAGCCCTGCCTGTCCATCCAAATGAACTACAATACCTTGATATTAGATATATATCATAATAATAGATATACATATATCGATAGTAATCGATAATTTCGAATACCAAAAATGCCGCAGAATTCAAGTTCATTGTGTTTGTGCCTGAAATGATATTTTTTTGATATTTTGAACACTCTTATAAGATATGTTTTATGGCATATAAAGAAAATGTAATACATTATATTACGTTAATATCATTATAGGATTATATAGTTATATTAAGGAAATTTAAAACTTAAATCACGCCCAGCTAGACGTTTAGCTTATCATTAATTTGAGCTCGCTTATGACCCAGAAATCAAAGTTGGCTAAATGTATGTGCTGAAGACGGCCTTTAGGATTCTCACAATGAGGCGGCGGCACGAACTGAAGTCGTTTTTGGAAAGATAAAGCACAGCAAGCTGGACAGGTAATGTTCACCTGTGTGAAAGTCGCGAACGTGAATGCATCAATCGAAAATCCATATAACATATACATATATAAATAAAAATATACATATATGTTATATATGGTTCGAGCACTTATCGGCCATTTGCTGTCACATTTATTAATTAATCGACGCCGCCTTTTGGCCAACTTTCTCAGCACTTAAGCGATTGGTAACTTAAGACTTCATTAAAATAAGTAATGCAAAAAAAAAGGCAAAAAAAAACATGGCAAGCAAAAAATCAGCTAATTTTTCGATGCGTTAAATCTGAAATAAATACGCGTTAAAGAGGAAGCACAGCAACAAGAAATTGAAGAAGAAGAAGAAGCCGAAAGCAGATACGAGTGGGCAAAAAACGAAGAAGAAGAAGAAACAAAGTGCAGCAGTTGGCTCGAAAGCAAATCAAGAGATTTTGTCAACGAATTGTGAATACCCTATTGAAGGCTAACACGATGATATCAATAGCAAAGACTCAGTTAAGATAAAAGACAGCTCAATCTTGTATACATTTTATTGATATATGTATGTATACATACTATAGTTACCCTATACAAATATTGTTCGCCTTGAAGGCATTTAGCCCTTGCTCTTGGCAAGGGTAAGCCAAATAAAAACCCGTTTAAAAGGCCCGCTTGCATATTGATTATAATGCTCCTGTTACTTGATACCAATTTAGGAGAGAGCGAGAGAGAGAGGGCGATGATCATCAACAAGATGTTGTTGTAGCTTCTGTTGTTGAGGTTGCAAAGCAGTTCCTGTTTTTTAAGGAGGGAGAGAGTGAGAGAGTGAGAGAGAGAGAGAGGTAGAGAGGGGCGAAGCCCCTTGAGAAACGGAGCAAGAAGAAATACTGCCAAAGATTTGTATTTTATTTTTCTTAATACCCTGCTCATAATATTGTAATGGGCATATGCTTGAGTAGGGTATATGCGCGATTAATCAGAGATTTAGAGGAAGGAAATTTGCTTAAGC